AGAGAGCCAGCTGTGAAATGCTTCCCGGCACTCCGCAGTATATAAGTAAAAGTAATCTAACAAGGGTCAGCTTGCTGTTGCTTCAAACACTCCAGGACATTAAACATATGAATGTCAGCTGCTTTGAGACAGTAAGCTTAGAACATCATATTGTTTCCTAACACTTTTTCATTTTCACAAACATTTATCGAGAACTACTATGCGGCCAGGCACTAAAGATTCAAAAGAAAAAAAAAATGTCCGTAACTGGCCCAGGGTGGTGAAGAAGTACGCTCTGGGGTCCAGGAGGGGCCCTCACTTGAGCTTTGGGGCTCCGAGCCTGGGGGGTGCGTGGCAGTGCAGGGGCTGCCACTCAGGCTGCAGCCTGAAGCTGAGCAGCTCACCAGGGCACAAGTCAACCAGCAGCTGAAGGAATTCATCGTAAGATGCCTGTAAGAACCAACTTGGAGACATTTTAGAGTTGTTCCAACGATGGTAGGCACCATCTTTTTGGGCCTTTCTTCAACTTGTCCCCTTCACCAGAACGCAGCACCAAATTTCTCTTAGTGGTCTCCAAAGCCCAAATCCACACTAGACGAAAGAAGCCCGATCTTCAGAGCAGAGGAGCTCCCAAGACATCTGACAGAAGCACCACGCCTAAACGTCACAGCCCGGATGCTCCAGGTGACCACGACAGTTGCAGGGAGGAAGAGGATATTTACATTTGCATCTCATTACTTGATAATGTTTTGCCGGTCTGGAGTTCAATCCCCGGTACCACAAAAAAAAAAAAAAAAAAAAAAAAAGTGAAGGCAGTCAGGTGGCGCACACTTGTAATCTCGCACTCAGGAGGTGGAGGCAGGACCGCTGCAAGTTTGAAGCCAGCCGGGGCTACATAGTGAGTTCCGGGCTGACTGAAATACAAAGTGAGACCCTGCCTCAACAAAATGAAACAGTATTTTAAATTAAATTAACAGTATTTTTAAAATGTAAGGGAGTGAGGTTAAATACTCCCAGATCATAATTCTATATTGAAAAACTGACTTTGCTTTACGTTAGCTGCGCATCACAGCGGCTGCTGCAGGGAGGTGCAGGAGCTGATCTTCATGTCCCCAAATTGGTTGGGAAGCAGCAAGGTGTGGGCACACGTGATAAATTATCAACGGGTGATTTTTACCCCCCATTTGCCCCATGGTACATTTTTGTACATTTATAATTTTTCTCATTGTTTAAAGAGATGCTAAAAGGGCCAGGGATTTAGCTCAGCGGTTCCGCCACCTGCCTTGCAAGCGCAAGGACCCGAGTTCAATCCCCAGTACCAAAAATAAAAAATAAAAATAAACCGTTTAAAAAAAAACAAGATGAAGACATGTTGTGAACATGTTCCAACTCCCACAAGGAATGTGAGCCTCACGGACTTCGAACACACTAAAATGTATTTATAATCGTCTTATTAAATGCTCCCTTTTGATTTTTCTTGTGAACTAGCCCAATTCAGTACAACATCACGCGAAAGCCTGCTTTTCCAACTTTGGGAAGAGGTGGAAGGTGAATCAATAGTGATGCAGGTACCTATGGTGGCATGGGTCACGTGAGCCACGGAAGTTGGGACGACGACGCCAAGAAATGACAGATGGGGAAGTAGAGAGATGACAGCAGAAACAATAATATAAGTAAATATTTGACTCGTCAAAATGCTACGAAGCGGTCACGCACACCTGCATGATCCAACACTCCAACTGGGTTGGAAAATTATTAGGCTCTTGCCAGGGATGAAACCTACCGGACAGAAAGCCAGCACTGCGATTCGAGGCTGTCGGTAATGGACAACATGCTACAAGGTGTTCTGAGACACACTAACAACGAAATACAAGAAAACACTCTGTATGCATCAATAATAACATTCAAAATTATATATATCATGACTCCTCACTATCTGAACTAAAAGCTTTCATAGGTCTGTCATGTAGAGCAGGCCTTTTTCATTCAAATCATCAGAACCTAAAGGTTTTATGGAGAAGTGACAGATGTGGCATTGAGATTTTTACAACAATGACACGCGAGAAGTTTTGTTACCTTCAAAGTTGCCTGTTTCCACAACAAAAACACTTGAGAACAAAGAAAAAAGTCTGACAATTTGTCTATTTGCTCATTTTTTAAAGCTTTGTTTCAAACTGTCAAGCAATTTAATGTCATAATTGAAGTAAAGATTACTTTTGTTGTGTAGTTTTTATTGGCATCTTAATTCATACAGGAATTTGTTACTTTTTTAGATTTTACGAACAAAAAATAATTATGTTGAAAATGCTGTTTATTATAAATGCTAAATATTAATAATTTAATACTTTATTTTATTGACATTTTCTTTTCCTGGTAGTTAAGAATGCTTAGAAGCTTCTTTTTCACTTTTTTGGTAGCCTGAGATATTACATAAGAAATCTACAGCACAGAATGTCTATAATTTTGTTCAGATGACTGCAGAACCTGGAAAAGCTATTGCTGCTCTCGATGCATAACACTATTATTAGTCTATATATACATATATATATA